TAGAATATATAAAGTACACAGCCCTTTATTAGCCCTGTCTAGTTCTGCTTGCTTCTTAGGCATCTGTATCGATTCCCTGCACGCGAAACTGACTTATAATAACTTCTTGCTTGATAACTATTGGTGCCTTATCATATTGGTAACCTTGTGGTGCGGACGGACGGACGATGATATGCGTGCTTGCCCCATGGCAACCTTGTCTTAATATCTTGATGGATTGCCAAGTTTGCACAGATATAGTACTCCGAGCGCTCGAAGCCATTATTGTATTCAACCTTACCTAGTAGTGGCTTAAGCAAAAGAAAATTTGATCTAACTTGATCATTAAAACCACGACGATAAACAAATAAGCTAGGTGGCCAGATCGCTAACAGGAAACTGTCACCAGGAGAGAAATAAAAGACAGAGTAATATGGCGAAGTGAAGAAGGTAAATCAAAACAAAAAAGTTCCTTTTCTTGTGTTCGATAACTGAAACATAAATCCTAGATAATAAGCTAGAAAAAAAAAACAGCGCACTAAATAATAATCTAGAAACAAAAGTGCCTATATAAGTTAGGATAGTTACATATCACTGCAGTATAGGAATTAAAAACCGATGAGATATGTCAATGGTACTACCTGCTCTACCGATTTCAATGAACTCTTAATTTTTTTAATTAACTTTTTTGCCCCCACACACAAACATCGCAATACTATCATGATAGTTGTGAAAAAATCAGTAGTTATAAAACATTTCCTACACCCATCTGCACGAGGTGAACGTGCTGTTTTGTTCATATAGATGCTACGAAACGAGACCGCGTTTTGCGAGAGACGGAGAGAAACCGACAAATGATTAGTCAAATCCTTTACAAGACCTTCGCGTCTTCGAATGGTGATGGACGAACACCAATTCATGTGAGTAGCTAGGTCGTAAAGGTTTTAGTAGATCTTCAGGTTCAACCGAACGCGTAGGTGTGAACATACTTGGCGGGGGTGCCCGAGCGGGCAACTTTCTTGCCCGCTCGGATTTCCCGCGTTGGTACCGCAAGAAAATGTTCTCTTTCTGGCCATATAATAAATCCTTATTTAACCAAGACTGTTCGGTCGAGATGGCTGGATATTCCCCTCGTTCTTTTCCGCTTTTTTATTGAAAACGAAAAAAAAAATTCAGCCGCCTTGACAACTTGACGTCACCCTTGGTCAATAACACATATACTATGTCGTTCTTCTGAATGCTGACGGCCGTATGAGGAGCAGGGATGCAGTTGTTGTGAGAGCGCTCGTCTCCCACCAACTGGCCGGGGTTCGAGTCCAGGCGCCGACGCCATATGCAGGTTGAGTTCGCTGTTATTTCTCTCCTTTGCTCCGAGCTAGAGGTTTTTGTCCGAGAACTCCGGTTTTCCCCTCTCCTAAAAAACTAATATTCTAGGTTCAAATTCGATCTCCAGGTAATTAGTTGAGAGACTTTACAGAGCGCCATGGGTTTATTATTTCTCGGTGAAACAGTCAAGTGTCACCGGATCTTTAATGAACGTAGTCAGTGACGTTTCCTCCTCTTTCTTTCTCTTGCCAGAAATGGCCGCGTAAGAGATTGAATTTCTTTACATTTCCAATGGGTCCTAAGGTTAAGGTCTTATAGCCCACTTTGGAAATGAGTGATAGCCTGGGACCAAACTAAGCGCGCGCGCGTTTATGGGATCCTTTGGGGGGGACAGAAAACCCCGAGCAGCCACCTGGAATAATGCCAGGGCATGCAACTTGCTGTTGTGCCCAAATAATTTCAAGAACTCCCATGGTCTGGCATTTTATCGAATACTCAAGGCAAGACGTATTCGGCGAGAATATATACGTTTGCTTCGGAACGATAATTTGAATTTGAACTCCGATAGCACGCGGACTTGCTCTTCCCATTGGGGTGGTGAAAAGAGCGGTAGAACTCATCTACCATCTCTCTTTCCTTGGAGTAAAAAAAAAACATGAACGACGAATTCTATACAGGTCAGAGGCAACTTCGAATTCAAGAGCCTGGAAAAAGAACACTGACATTTCTTGTACCGAAATGGACGGTGAGGCTGACTCAGTAAATGAAGTGTCAGTTGACCAGATTGACGTGGACACTCAAAGCAACAGTGTTTCACCGACTCTTTTCTTTTGTGATGCTGAGACGCAAACTGAAATAACTGGAGAATTTCCCGATCGATTGGAATTTGAATAAAAATCGTCTGGCGAGGAAAAAGACAAATTAGCGAAAGAAAAAGACGAGTTGACTAGAGATTCAAAGTGACTTCAGCATGCACTGAGAAATCCGAAGTTTGACATTTCAAAATTTAAGGAAAAGGATGAAGATATCGAATTTTACACTGGCCTTCCACACTGGGATGCACTTATGCTTCTTTACGATATGTTACATGACAAGGCCCAGAACTTAAAGTATGGCTACTATGCGAAGAAAAACACCAGTCTTGAGCAAAAGCTAGGAAGACTTAGATCAATAAGTATATTTGAAGAGTTTATTTTGACTTTGATGAGACTTGGGTTAGGTTTATTTCAAAAGGATTTAACAAATAGATTCAATGTTTCAGAAACAACCGTTGCACTATGTTTAATACCTGGGTGCAGTTCATGAGGGTTGAACTGGAGCCCTTAATTCGCCTTCCAAGAAAAGAGGTCTTACATCAGTATTTGCCAAAAATTTTTAAGGAGCTGTACCCAAGGACTGTGCTTATCATTGATGCTGTTGAAATTCGGGCTGAAAGCCCGTCATCACTAGATATGTAGTCAGCTTGCTATTCGTCTTACAAGGACAAAACAATTATGAAAGCGGTAAGATAGCCCCAGGCACATCCTCTTCCTTTAGCTTCACATTTTCATGTTTTTTTCTTTCATTGCCACCTTCCCTTTGGCTGTTTTGAACTGTTTTAACCCCGCTACATTTCACTTTGCTTTCTGCCATGTTTGTTTCGTGTCCCCTCAAACGATCCCATAAACGCCCGCGCGCTTAGTTTGTTTCCAGGCTATCACTGATTTCCGAAGTGGGCTATGACATATGTAAGAATTAGTACTAAAAATATGACTGCATGTATCCCCAGCAAAGGAATCCTTCAACGACCCTAATAACTTTTGTTCATCCTAAAACGTGCCGCTATAGCTAGACTGTAATAAATACATAAAAATCCCTTGAGTTTAATATTTCATTTCATGATATCAAGGAATGGGATCCCCATCAAGGAATACGAATAGAAGGTCCACTTGTGACGTTCGATTGTACGGAGCAGTGTTTTCCGGACACGGAGTACCATCATCATGGTGCCAGATATCGTCAGCCCCTTTCTCGTGAGTTTCCTCATTTTGAGGTGAGTTTCGACAACAGCAAAAAGGATTTTAGTTTGACTGTCTATATGGGTTGTTGACTTAATATGACTAATCTTCTATTGGCGATTTGTAGGTGACGTATTGTTTATCAACAACAATTATTTTGTAAATAAGACTGAAACACCTCAGAGGCTCCAAACTAGGATACGATTAACCCTTTAAATAAAGCATAGCAATCCTTGACTTTGTAATGACAATTAAAGGTAAAATTTTCCAATTAAATTAGTTTTTAGGGAGAGGAGGGTGGGCGTTACATGAAAGGGTAATTAAAAAAGTAGTAAGGTATAATCTAGGATTACTAGAGGGGTTGCAGTCGTTGCTTACTTTGTGGAGTCGCTTGGAACAGCTTCGGAGGTGGAGTGTAATACGAAAGTGTTTTACGGTGTTATACTACCTTTTCCACCCTCAGATTACCATTGTGGAGACAGGTGAATACAAATGGTTGGGAATAGGTATCACGGATAAAGCTTACAAAACAAGTGATATGCCAGGATGGTATGAACAATCTCTTGGCTACCATACTGATGATGGGAACATCTTTCACAATACTAAGCATCTTGAGGGCGCCATAGGGACCAAAGGTATTAAAACTTGTCAGAGGGATAAAACAGTTTTGCGGATGATTTTATTACATGCCACGTCAGGGGTAGCGGACAAAGTGGGGTATGTGGTAGGGAGGAGGCTTTATGGCCCCCCCTAACTTTTTGGGATAATAAGAAATTGTCAATTCCATTTGGTTTACTTTATTTTAGCAGATTCATTACTAGACTGACTACTTACAGAAATAAGGTTATTTACCTATTCTAAAATTTTCAAGACTGCTATTAACTCTCTTTCAACATGGCAACAATGTTTTCGTGCCAAATTTGATCCAAGTTAGCTCCTTCAGCGGTTTGCCCAAACAAACCCAAAGACTGACGAATTTTTTGTTATGGTCCGCTGCTGACAGAACGGTTAGAATATTAACGGTAAAACCTATGATAATGGCATTCTGAGTTTTTCTTCTTCTTTACTCACCGTATAAATGGTTTTCATTGGGTTCGAATTCAAGGTTAATTTACTACTGTAGAGAAAATGATGATTAACGCGTTCAGATCTTTAAGTTAGTGGAGGGCCCGCTCAGTCCTTAAGATTAGAGGGGACCCGGCCTCGAAAATAAGTATTCCTTGGCTCCGTAGACCTCAGCTTGGCCTATAAATAAGATGGAGGTCCGGGTCCCCTGGACCCCTCCTCTAGATCGGCCACTGTTATTATTGGCATATATGATTAAAAACGTTTATGCAGAACTATGCTTTTAAAGAACGGTGAAACATCTGATGAATAAGAAAAGCACGTTTCGCCGAACTAGTAGATCAAGATCGTGTAACCAACCTTAATATGGTCATTACAAAACTTGACAGTCGTTTAGGGATGTCTGATTTAAAAGAGATCTTCGCTATCATTTTGGTTCTTCGTACTGAATACAGATAGTGGCTCAAAAATGAAAGGCTGCTACAGTATTTCATTTGTATTATTGTACAAGAAATGCGCGGTCTGAGGACTCGACGAAGGCGTCACAGAGAGCCCCACAGAATTGAACACTACTTTTAGAAAACTGATTGGTGCTATTGTTTGGATTTAAGCCGATGACGAACGCTGCCTTTTGGAGAATACAATGAGTGGAGTTGAGTGAATTTGTCTTAGCGGCTAACGACCGAGACACAAAGCGTCGAGGGAGTCGGGCGCTTCAGTTTCAGCTGCTATGTAAACCTTTGGCGTGATTTTACTCATCCTAGATATTTAGAAAACGGATAATTTTCACCTTCACCCATCGAAAATAGTAGTAGTAGTAATAATAATAATAATAATAGTAATAATAATAATGATGATGATGATGATGATGATTTTGATAATGATGATGACGACGATGATGATGATGATGACGACGACGACGATCCAACGGGAAGCCACCGTACAAAGTTTACCGTGGCCCACAGATGTAACGGCAAAGTCATGTTAGCCCGGCCAAAATGAGTTTTAGGTAGTCTAGAAAACAACCTTCACATTTTCACAGCAGTGCATCTATTATCACAGTGAGTGGAGCTAATTATGTTGATACGAGGTTTAGCTGCCTTTCTAGCCAGTTTATAAGCTGACACTTTTTTCAGCAAAGCATGCCCTGGAAATTTTACTATAGTATATGCTCATGGTTACGCGTCCAGTTTAGTCCCCACTGGGTCCCCACGTGGTCCGTGGCTATGGTTATTGAGTTTTTTTTACAGTATATTCTTGTATTGATTCTGGAGATGAAACCTATGAAACCATAAACGTTAGGATATTCAAATGAACGCTACTGAGCAGTACTTTTTTGTGGCACTGCGAAGTATGTTGTGTAAGGTGGTTCTTACATTTGAGAGACTTACTCCTGCTTGCAAAAGAGAAAATTGAATATGAATATTGCAACATTACTGTTCCCCTTTGTTGAAAGTCAGAACGCATCACGTGACGCAGGCAAATCCCCCTTAGAGAACGAAGTACGTTTTTGCGAAAACACTAAGGGTCGATAGTTCTTTTTAACTAGGATTGTTTGTTCGCCACTAATTCATCATCGCAGATCACTTTATGTTACTCTAGAGAATGGTTCTTTTCAATTTTCATTTTATTCCTTTGCCAGCTATGAATTCAAATTCATAAAATGACGAAGATAAAATACCCCTTTAAGAAAGTCACGTGGCTTGAAATGTATAAGAATCAACATTACCGTTCTCCACAAAATGACTGCTTTGACTTGTTTTTTTTTGGCAAAAACATGTTATATTATGTTGAGCCGCAACAATATGTTAATTTTTTTCGGTGACGCTTACTTTGATGAATCAGTTAGCTTTTTTTTAATATTAGCTCTGCTAATAGGCCTGGTCTCAGAAGAATGCATGCCTGCCACCAGTTCTCTTAAGTTTACAAGTTGTAATCTTAGCAGCTTAAGTTATATAATTTTTGCATTGATCAGGTCACGTGAATAGGGAGCTGCATGTGATATCAGCTCATGATTACGTGTCTTGTTTGTCACAGGCCCTGCTATGGCTCGCCGAGGTGATCGCATTGGCTGCACTGTTTTGTTTGAGAAAAGTCGATATAGAGACGGCAAAATTCAAATTCCAGTTTTCTTCACACTAAATGGCAGTGAGATAATTTTGGAAGGTGGAGAATGCCCGGGAAAGAGCCTTATTTTTGTGGACTTTGAAAAGCCGCTATTTCCTTTCATTGGCATGACTGTAGGGAGCCGTGTGTTGGCCAAGGTAAGGTCCACACTTAGACTAACTTACCAAGTTTTTTCGGTACATGCTTATGCCAGTAAGCATTTACAACTTTCTGAGGTGTAAAACTTCTGCAACTATTATATATCGCTTAAATATTTTTTCAAATGTAGTAAAAAAATCTCCTTCTCATAGTATAACTCTAAAGCTCTTGGATAAAAGTCTGATGGGCAGTGAAACTCTCTGATAATTATGAATCAAGGTCCTTAGTTGAGGTTACGATGTCGAGTCGCTTTCTCGTCTTGAAATGTCATACAATGTATAGCTGCATGGTTGGTGAAACGATAATAAAATATTGCATCCGTCAGTCATTGTCATGAATAGGTTATTCGATCTAACGCTTGAACATTAGCCTTTTTAACAGAAAGCTCCTTCGTTATGTTTTGGACCGTCTTTTGACGTTATCTTTTGAGTAAGTCAACACCTTGCTTATCTCTATCGCTTGTTATAAATCAGGCGAGAATGATTATTGAGTATGAGGTGTCACCCCGTCTTTCACATAGCGGAGCTCTCCTGCGCACGAAGCTCGGGCAGCGGAGCACCCTGGTTGATAATATTTAGCTATCTATGCATCCAAGAAATTTGGGTATCTGGTTTGTGACAAAATCGTCTGTCTGCCAGTCCACCGCCCCTTTATGATAGCGGATGTGAAACGCCACACTTACTAGTTGGGAGTCCAAGGCGTATGCAATCTGTGTTTAACTTAATATTGGACATCAATACTTTATATGGTCAATTGACAGCTGTAAAAGTAGGATATCCACTGACCAGTATCTCATGACTGTATCGCGGGTTCAGGTCTACAACTCAATGAGTGACGTGTTTTCCAAAGCTCTCCGCTGATCAGTTATTGGTTTTAATTTATGGCAGGCTCAGATCCATTTTAACAGAGAGCCTTTTCACAGGCTACTTGTTTATGACGAAGTTGAAATACTTGTACTTGAGAAAGACATTTCTTAAAACATCCCACGAGAGCTTCGCTCGTGGCCTTGGCTAAGTCTATGTATTAATTATTGGCTTGATCATTCAGATGAAACCTAGTCTTTGGTGATACTTTCACATACCGGTGCTTTTTATTTAACTTTTTGAGACAATGGGATGAAAAAGTGGTGTAACCATATTTATTTTTTAAGTAATCTCTAAATCAGTATTTTGCATGATACTACAGTAGATGATTTTCAATTTTTTTTTTTGATATAATTTTCAAGGTTTCTTCACTGTTGAATTGAGCGCACTATTGCTACAAAAAACAGATAAGTCTAAAAATATGATAGTAATGCCATACACCGTTTTCACAAATGGCGGACACGCGGGAAAAAACTGGTGCCTAGTCATGAAGGCGAGGCGCAGAGTGTTTAGCACGGATTCCACCTAAAATAACTTTGCACGGACGTCTTTTTAAATACAATTACTTGTGATGTCTTCAGCTTTTAATGTTTAGTACTGATTTGCTGTTTGCAATCAAAAGGGACGCGCATATCGTCACGGAAACAGGATGATTTTGTAGGTTTCCGAAGCATCAAAAGCTCGACACGTGGGCGATGGCTGCAGAAAAGCGGCTAACATGTTGGTCCAAACTTCACACTGAAACCGAATACGAAAGCCAGCTCATTACAATTCTGTAAAACAAAAATAAAAACAGATATTGGTGGCGAGAAAAAAAGAAATAAGCAACGGATATATGGCCTACTTGTCAATGGAAGAGACCTCCCGCAAGCGCGGGTGAAAGATTCATTCACGAGGCTCATTCATTCATGTCAGTGTCATTTTGAACATATCTATGTATATACTTGTGTAGATATGTATGTCTGTATTTACAACTTCCTTTGGATCATATGAATTCCGTCGCTTTGGAGTGAATTGTTAGTGGTACGTTGGCAGAGCTTAAAGCAAAAATCTCATGATTTCTTTGTCATTGCGAAATAAAACAATTTTGTCAAAATTAGAAGCTCTAGTGTGTGAGTCTTATGGCCTGCTATTTGCCTGGTCTCCTTTGGGGCATTATCTCAGAGAGCTCTTGGTAAAAAAGTGGTATAAAGCTCACATTTTACTGGGTTAAACTTTCAACGCAATGTTTGTGTCAGGACTGAACACGGCAAGCTTCTGTTTCGAATAATTAATTTCGAGTCTGGATCCGTTTAAGAAGACCATCATTCTATTTATTTATGTATTCTTCAACTTTTAAATATTATGGAACATAAAGTTAAAACTCTTAACAGTCAAAGATAAGAAATGCGAAAATTACTCGCTGAAATGATTTGTGGCCGGCTTACCGAGTCTGCCGAGTAACAAGTTGCAATTTTGAGCGTACTCCACTCGATCGCTCCTGCATTTATACTAAAAAAATAGTTCTAATTGATGTCCTTCATCGATAAATACCAGGTAATAACGTCCTGGCAAACAAAAACCAAACATAACTTCATCGAAACCTCAGTCACCTCTTGATTCTTGTCTTCCTTTTTCCATCTTGACTTGAACTGTTTTGTTCAATCACAGACGTATCTTGCGTTAACAATTAGAATATCCGTCACTTATTTCCCTTTTTCTTGCCACCAAGACTAGTTTATATTTCTGTTTTACCGAATTGCAGTGAGCTGGCTTTCGTACTCGGTTTCAATGTGAAGTTTGGGCCAACATGTTTGCCGCTTTTCTGCAGCCATCGCCCACTTGTGGAGCTTCTGATGCTTCGGAAACTACAAAATCATCCTGTTTCCTTGACGATATGCGCGTCCCTTATGATTGCAAATAGCAAATCAGAGCTAAACATTAAAAGCAGAAGACATCCCACGTAATTGTATTTAAAAAGAAGTCCGTTCAAAGTTATTTTTTGTGGAATCCGTGCTAAACACTCTGCAAGTACAGTTAACTGAAAGTCTTCATTTGCAATTTTTGTTTATCCTCCAAAGCCTCGCTTTCATGACTAGGCACCAGTTTTTTCCCGCGTGTCCGCCATTTGTGAATACAGTGTATAAACGGGTAACTCCAGGTCAGGTTTTGACCTCAGCGAGCCGGCTTTTTTACTTTTATCTTGCACTCCTTGTCGGCTTTCTCATTACTTTTTTATGGGTCCCCTGACAGATGTGTGTATCGGAGGATGAGCTACAGAAAGACATGTCGAAAGTCTTTGATCACATTATATATGCAAGGGAGGACGTAGTTAATCAGAGTTTGGAAATTCAGGAGTTGAAATCTGACTTTGCTGACGTTCGCCAGGAGATGAATGCAAAAGAGGATAATATGAGACACAACATGGAAGATATTGTCTGCAACGAGGTTAAAAAGGCGACGAAGTACCTGGAAGATATTGTCAGCAACGAGGTTAAAAAGGCGACGAAGTGCCTGGAAGAAAAACTTGATGCTTTATTTGTGAAGTTAAGTGAAAAAGATAATTGAAAACGTGTGAGAGAAACAACAACATCACATCTTATTCCAGCTGTACTTAGGATGGATGACTTCAGAAACCGTAACGCAGCCACTTGGAAAATATACCATGGTATAAAAGTGCAACAGTTCATTCGTCTTCTTGGTCTTCATTGTGTCACCAAGCAAATAAAGAGAAATAGAAGATAACTAGATCAGGTCTGTTCAAAAAGTGAAGCCCCTCGCGATCGCTTGGATCGAGGGAGAGGGTCCCTCAGATCACAGATTGTTTTTAGCACTTTTCCATTAGATTCTAAAGGTAAGATTTTAAAAACATGTGACACTTCTAGCATTTTTTACGTTGGTACCTAAACGGAAGTTCAAGCTGAAACAATTGCTTCCTGGCATGCGAATATAACGAAGAGTCCTCTCTTTTTTCATGTGCTAAAGCAAAAAATGTCATGAATTGCAACATGGATTGCTTTCGCAACTTATATATTGTATTGAATATATTCATAATCTGAGTTAAATTGTTTTGTCTATGCACTTACCCGTAATATGTTTCAGTGTCCAGCTAAACTGACACAGATGTAGATTTAGGTGCGCGTGCCAATACCGTAAACATCCGCTTATAAGCCCTCCCACCTTTGATAGGCCCATCCACCTATAAACAAAAAAAATAGATCCGGTTATAAGCCCCCCCGGATATAATCCCCTCTAGCTTGTATTGAAGTAAATTCGATTTTTTTACGACGTTTTGAAGCTTAAAATAGCGAGTAAATTCAAAAAGTATTTTGATCGGCACTGCTATGCAGCTTGTTTTGAAACCAGTCATAAGCCCTCCCGGATATTAGCACCCCCCCCGTTTATAAGCCCTTTTAAGACCCTTACGAATTTGTATGAGCTTAGGGCTTATAAGCGGGCGTTTACGGTATATTTTTAGCTGTGTAGAAATGAATAAACTTGAATCTTACAAATGACTCTTTTGTGTGATCACTTTAAAAAAATTCGCTGGGTTGTTTCTCTTGGTTCCAATTCTATTAGAACACACCTCCCACCCTTTCCTTTCCCGCCTCCTGTATCCCTACCGCCCTCCTTTTTCCCGGCCTCCCATCCCCTTGTCCTCTCCCAGCACAGTGGACAGTGCATGGCGTTAACTTTAAGCAGTTAACAGGGAGCTTAAGCAGAAACGTTTTTGAGCGACGCACGTCAACCGGCAGTGATGCACTTTCCCTTTTAATCTGCCGTAACGCTTCTAAATTTGTATCCTTAAGTACCTCTAGTCTTAGGAAGACAATTTGGCTGAAAGAGTTAGGCATAACCACTGCGCCCAAAAAAATAAAAACAGACTCTTCTGGTTGACGTCAGTCGCTTAAAAACGTCTTAAGTTAAGCTCCCTAATTACCAATCAATGCCCCTTTCTTATTTATTAACCATTATTAGCGTTTTCTCAATGCACTTTCAAAACATTTATGCAGTCTATGTGAATTGGAAATATTTTTAAATAGGGAAGAAGATTTCCACCGAAATGTTAGCAGGATTTTTGTGTGGAACTATGGCAGGATCGGTCGGGAATTTCGGTCGAAATGATGTATTTGTGAAAAGTTCTATTCTTCCCCGAATTCACAGCTTACCAACTTCTAAAATCATTGAAACTGAAAACCTAACCGACTCAGAAATACACGATCTGCATCGTTCCGTATTGACTCGATCCGTAACCAAGGGGTTAAGCGGTTATCTCCATAATAAGCGGCGCTGACATCCGGTCAACACTTAATTTTCCCAATTGGTTACTTTTATTGTTATAGCGGGGCTCCCGCGCGCGCGAAGCGCGCGTGGGACAGAGCCCCATACTCATGGAATATGGTCAACCTCTTTTCGTTTGGTTGTCACGTGATTGACCGAGCGTACGTACGTACGTACGTACATACGTACGTACATACGTACGCACGCGTCTACAGATTGTACGGGTGGGGTAGGGAAGACTATCAAAAGGAAGGGAGGGGTGTCTCAGGGGTGTGTTGGCAAGTCCACATCTTTAATATAGGATTTTAGTATAGGACATTCACAATATGGTCAATTGACAGCTGTCAAAACAGGATTGCCACTGACCAGTATCCCATGAGCATATCGTGGGCTCATGTGTCAACTCATCGAGGTGACGTGATTTATTTGGAAGCTGTCCGCTGACCAGTTAATTGTTTTACTAGATCGCGAACAATGTTCAATCTCTAACTAGTTAAACTGATAATGCACACATATTTGACATCAATATTTTGATCAATTGACAGCTGTCAAAACAGGGCACCCGCTGACCAGTATCACTTGACCGTATCGCGGGCTCAGGTGTCGACCCATCGAGGTCAAGTATTTTTTTGAAGCTATCCGCTGACAAGTTACTAGTTTTAAAGTGATCGCAGGCTCAAGTTCATTTTTTTTCTAAATTCATATGAAATAATTATGTTGTGCTTATGTGCTACACAATTAAAATTTTGATTGCAAACTGACCTCGGACGCGAAAATTCAGCCAGCTGTTACAGGCAGGGAAGACAGTTGGTTTTGACTTTTCTCACCATGGTCACGCGTTGGTCACGCTCTACGTCCAATTTTTATGCTCTGATTGGTCAAAATTTGACAGGTGAGTTCATGCGGAAAATTTATGCAGCATCTTGAATCTTGTTTACTTTGACAGCTGAAGCTGACAGAGTTTTGTGTCAACTTGTGATGTTTTTAACTGTCTTTTTCCACTGGATGTACAAAATGAAATTCAGCTGCAATCAGGAGTTTCTGTTATTCATGGCTAGTTTGTTTATTGGGTTTTTGGTTGAGAAATACGTCGCTTGTCAAAGTCGGAAATGGCATCTTTTTCGTTTTCACCTTGCTTGGTGAGTAAGAGGGTTGCAAAGTCTGAAGCGATACTGGCCTTACTTGATACCTTTCAGGAGCTGCATCTCGAATGGTAAGCCAGAGTAATTATTGTATTTGATGTTTGTTTTTTGTATCTACTTTAATGGAGTCAAGCGTAGTTTATGCGGGTATTTGGTTTATGCACGTTTGTAAGATTTGAGACAATGATCTGACCGAGTATCAGGTTTGATGTAAGGTTACAGAACTTTAGAAAGCCTTTAGACAGTTTCTCACCGCAAATAGAAAGAAAACGTTCCAAAGAATATTTAGTTATAATTCTGGCCGGAAAAGAAAGCTTTGAGCGATTTTCTTGCCTCGAGTTCGTCTTTGAAAAAAGCAAACACCGGGAAGCCAGCTTAAAACATAAACTTAAGCTTGAAGCTTGAAGACTCAGGATTTTTAGGGACACTTTAATACTTGTCTTCCTGAATGAAAATTGTTGTCTCTGTATATGTTTCACCGAATTATATTTCTTTTATTGATTGTTAGTAGTCTCTCTTGTAATTTTAATCGCTGTGCCGATTGTTTTCAGTCGTTCAGTGAACATCGCTTGCAGGAGTTATTTAACTCAAAATGCCGCGCGTAACTCTGTTAATGTTTATTCAAACACTCGCCACAGCTCACATTACAAAAGTGAGAACCGGATGGCCGTATAGGTGATTTTGGAAATTTTTTTAACAGTTTATGAATATTGAATGAGTGCAATTTGTATTGTGAAATACTGCTTTCTGTCCGAGGTCTGCCGGTATGATAAAAACAGTGCCTCATACTACCGTTTCACCTCAGATGTGATGTATAAATGGTATAAAAGGACTTGGTTTACACGCACCCAGATTTGTTGACAAGATTTTGCAAAAGTAAACTTGTCGAACGCAAAAAAAATTGGCCTGATTTTTTTTTTCCACTAATTAATCTACGGTGATCAAGAGCCATTATGGCTCTTAAATGTGATCGAAGATGATTACCAGTTTTTAAGTGTACATATGAAGCTATCAACTCAATGTAAGATTTGGTTCACTCTTGGGCTGTTTGCAAATTATTTTTCTCTAAAATCAGGTAGCCTTTCCCTCAAAAGTCACATAAATGTGCTCTAAAGTTAACTGAATTGTGGAATTCGAATACAAGTTTATTGTTTAATTTAAATTATAAATTTATTAATGGGAGCCTCGCTTTTAGCCCTGGCTAAATCTATATATTATAATATCTTTATTTAAAGGTCACTCCGTTGGTTCTTAATTACGAGATTTGGGAGCTTAAGAAACGACGATGGCGACGGCAACGACAACGACAAAAAGCAATAGTTTTAGATTAGCAAAACAACAATTTCGCACATGCATCATGCTTTTTGTACATTTCCTTGCCTTCGCAGCACGACTACGACGCGAAAGTGCCTAATTTTACGTTTTGTGGAGGACGTGGAGCTCCCTTTATTTTCTTTATCATGAACAAATTGTGTTGATAAAAGTAGGAGTACTTTCTACTTTCTACAACAGCTTTTCGCAACCTGCAACAACCTGATTTGCTGCAAGACAGGTGTATGTGAACGTGGGTAGAGAAACAAGCAACATCGCTTTTCAACTCGTTTTGGGGCAATTAATTTTGCAATACAAGTTGCATGTCTTTTTTGCTCACTTCAGTACCGTACATTTACTTTAACTCGTTTCCTTTTGACCATGCATGACCACACTGCAGGCCTCTTATATTGCGTGGGGGACGTCTATTCAAGAATAAATTCAAAACGCAAAATGTTGGTTGCGCTGCATCTTTTAAAACGCTCATATCTTTGGAGGCGATTTAGATAAAATTTTGGAGATTTCGGAGGGTTGCTTTTTTAATTGGTAGATCGCGCTTTACGTCAATGCTTTAACCCACAGTCAGTGTGCCAAATTGGGAAAACATGATTTAGTCCATGGGCCAGGACCCCAAAATACCTTTTCAGCCCCATTCGTAATATTAACCTCCCTTCCATGTTACGGCAATATCTTTTTTAAAAAGGAAGTAAACAGAAACAACTGAAAGCTAATCTTTGACGATTGCTATCACGCGTATCTGGAATCTCACTTTTCATGAGATATCACTAAAAT